TTGAATACCTTGCAGGTATTCTGTCAGGATTCTGGCAGTTACTCCAATTCAATCATGAGCCTCGAGCCAGTCCCAAAACTAAAGTGGATTTATTAGAAGTTAACGTTCCAGCACTAGCCTGGGTGTAGCCAAACATTTTGTATACACATTTTAGTTGTCATACTGCATGAAAAGTGAGGGGGGGGGGGGCAACTCAAAATAACGGTGTCTTGACTTTCATTTAGTATAACTGGAAACGGGAAGAAACTTACAGAGATATCTCAAGATTCTGTTAATTCTACCCTTCAAGCCTCAGAAGTCATGGGAGCTTCATCCCCGGAAGCTTTCAAGAAGAGACCGGACTGCTATTTGTCAGAAATGGTGCAGGACCTCCCGCTTGGGGGGGGGGGGGTTGGACTAGATGACCTACAAGATCCCTTCCAACTCTGTTGATCTATTAAAGCTGCGTTCCTGAAATCCTTGCCGGGTGTCCTTGACTTGACCCAGCCTGCATCGGACGGTCCTTGTGAAAAATAGACCCAGACTGCTTGGAAACATGACAACGGTTCCTTACGAGCCCTTGCCAAATGAAGACACCCCTCCTCTTTGCCCAGATCCGTTTTCTGAGAAAAACAAACACTGCCACACGGCAAAATGCCAGGGCTGTGCCCACACCTCCTACCTGCTGTCAGCACTCCAGGTTCTCTTCCTTGTCACCTACGCATGCCTCCCCTACCAGCGTCAGGAGGGGCAAGCCAAGACAAGGATGGTTTTCCCTGCGCCTCAAAGCTTTGCGTTTTGTTGTCACGAACAAGCGGGCAACCTGCCAGTTTCTCAGTCTTCCTGCCCTTCAGGTGAAACCTCAGCTGCTAGGTGTGTGTGGGGGGAGGAGGAGAAGGAAGGTAGGCAGGTAAAAAGCTGCAGCTGAGCCCCAGCAAATATGGAAAATGTGCTTGGTTTTACCTCAGAAAGATCTCTTTAAGAGTTGCCATACATGGAAAACTCGCAGCCCAGCAGATATCCGCCAAGGAACTGATAGCAGAGCCTGCAATCATGAAGGAACCAGGGAGGGATTTGGCTCTTCGGGATTCCTCTCTGGACGAGAGGGCTTGAGATCGCCCACATGTGCTCTATAGGAGACGAGGGAATAAGCTATCCTACTCAAACCAGGTTTGGCACCGTTGCATACTTCCTTTCTCACCATCTTTTGGAAATCGCATTAACTGTTTTTCAGAGATTTGGAACTTTCAGAAAGGACATTTAATTGCCCAGATGAGTTTCTTCCATCTTTAGCAAAAGGAACTTTTGCTAAACTTAAGGACAAACGTTAAGGACTTAATGAATACAAAGTTGGTTTATTTGACCAAGTTTAAAACAGATATATTATCTCTGTCAATCTTTTATGGACTTTTTCCTGGCATCAAGATTGGCCTTTTAAGAATTCGTTAATAGCTAAAAGAAGAGATTTGGGAAGAAGAGATCATTAGTTTATTTTAAGAGGTGATATTTAAGTTCCTAAAAGCATTTATACTCGTTGTAATGAAGGGGGAAGCTGTTTCTTCGGGTATTTTTCCTCTTTGAACTATTTTTTGGTTTGTTTTCTGCACTATTTTTTCCATTCCTTTTTTTTTCAGCTGTCTCATCTTTTTAACTGAAACGTTCAATATTACTTTTTGTTTTTTAAAGAGGAAAACCCAACAGCTCTCCAGAACTCGGGAAAAAGGATGGGCAGAAACCACAGGTTTGAAAAGGGCGAGATTCTACAGACATCTCCCGTCTCCAAAAAAGCGCAAGTGAGTGCAATCCGGCAGGCGAATGCACGATAGCGGCTGCCTTGTTAAAATAATCTGAGCATTAATGACCAGCATCCTGTGATGGAAACCCACGTGCTCACGGCCTCAGCCTGGCCCCAGAGAAGGCTGTCCAACCCCCCTCCCCCCTTTTTTTTTGCAAAAAAAAAGACGACAAAACGCTCGCTAAAATTTCAAACATATTGCTTTTATTTTGTGCAATGGTTCTCTGACAGTTCTCTTTAAAAGCAATTGTTTCTGTAAAGGCCAGCCAAGTGCTGTGTGCAAATGCATTATTAGTTGGAAAAAACAAACAAAGAACAGTTTGATCAGTTCCTGCTCCGCTGCACATGGAGCGTCCATCCATCCTGGAATGGGGGAAGAAAAAAACCATCGCTCCGGGTTGTCCAGGTACAAAAGAAGGGCACGTGTTCACACACAAAACATTCAAAGTTAAAAAAATTAAAAATTGCCCAGAGGATCCTGGGTTATCCTCTCCCCTCTTTGGAAGAGCTTTAGAGCTCCCACTGCCTTAAGAAAGTTGAAAACATCCTCAAAGATCCATCTCATCCTGGGAACCCTTTTTTTTTAACTATTATCATCTGGAAGAGAGTACAGGACAATAATAAAAACAAGGACAAACAGGCTGAAAAACAGCTTCTATCCCAGGGCAAGTAACTCTATTGAATTCCACTGAGTAGTGCAATATTAACGTAAATTCAGGGGTTTTCCATCCAACTGCATAGAATGTGAAAGGATGTGTGCGTGTTTATTTTCATAGTCATAAATTGTACACTGGACATGGCATTTGATTTCATTGTACGAGGTGCACTGACAATAAAGCAAAATAAATTTAAGTCACAGATCCCAGGCTCACAAAACCAGACCCAGATTCCCCCGTTTTTCTCCCCAAAAAATTCTCACCCAGCGGGATCACCCACCAAGGATCCGACAAAGCAGCCCTCTGTTTTCGTCTGCTCTGTTTGCAGCACCGCCCCAAACCTAGACTGATTGCAGAGAACTTGCCATGCACCATTGCGCCCTGCCAGGGCCTGGCAGGGCAGCCATTTGCCCCTTGGGATGCCCCTTCCAATGCTCAGATCGCATCACCCAGAGGCAGCCGTCCTACACGGGCAAAAAGGATCGGCTCCAATTTTCTACATTGCCTAGCTCAGGTTTAGGCAACCCGCAGCTCTGGAGCCGCATGAGGCTCTTTGGGCCCTCTGCAGCTGTGGCTCCCTGTTAGGTGATCCCACCGCTGGCTGGCCCTGCCTCTCCCCTCCCCGCCATGCCCGAGAAGGTAAAACACACAAAAACAGAAATGGGAGGGAGACCCGTTTCCCACAGAAATCACTGGCAGCCACAAAACCTGGGTAGGCGTGGTGGTGGTGGGTCATGTGACTGGGCAGGATTGACATTGAGTTGGCCACACCCACCCAGATTTTCTGGCTCCCGTGTTTTCCTTTCTGTGGGAAATGGGTCCAAATGGCTCTTTGAGTGTTTAAAGTTGCAGACCCCTGGCCTACCTCCAAAACTCTACGCCGGGGGTCTCCAAACTCGGCCACTTTAAGACTTGTGGACTCCAACTCCCAGAATTCCTCAGCCAACTGTGTCTGTTTCTTTTTCTCCTCCCCCCCAAAGAGGAGAGATTGCAGAGGAAGGGATTGCAAGAGAGTAAGCTCTGCTGGCTGGGGAATTCTGGGAGTTGAAGGCCACACGTATTAAAGTTGGCCAAGGTTGGAGACCTCTGCTCTACGCCATTTATACCCTGGGCACACAAGGGTACCAGGCGATGTGCATTTTCCTCTGCAGATGCAGCACAGGTAACCCTCAAATTACCACCTTTCATTGAATGACTATTCAAAAGGTACAACGGCACACCCAAAAAACCCTGACTTATACTGGTTTTTCCCTTACGACCACTGCAGCCATCCCCAGGGTCAAGCAATCAAAATTCAGACGCTTGGCAACCGACTCCTGTTTACGACGGCTGGGGCATCCCGTGATTCCCCTTTTGCGACCTTCTGACAAGTGACGTCCTGGGGAAAAAGCCAGATTCGTTTAACGACTAGCTTATCAACTTGTGGCAAGAAAGGGTGTAAAACATGGGGCAAAACTCAACTTGACTGCCATCTCACTTAGCAACGGAAATTTTGGTCGTAAATCGAGGACTACCTGTATAGGGGATACGCTGCCCCACAACACACAACTACTGGAGGAACAGCAAGCTCCACCCTGTCAAAATTTGAAAATTTGGCTGTTATTTCCTCCCCTTGTTCCGCTTACATGTGTAAAAGCTGACCAACTCCTTACAGCAAATTTTAAAAGTCTTTCAACCTGTTTGGCACAAAAAAAAACCAAACCAAACCCTGGAATATAGATTTATGAAGAGCCACAAGAGGAGACAATCTTTGGGTGCTCTGTTAAAATTTCAGAACATATTCCTTTCCCGTACTTCTACTGCAAAACTGAACACGAACAGTTCCCTCTTTCAGAAATAAATTACCACTAGTCGCAAATCAGCCATTCCAATCCTAAAACAAGAGGACGATCATTAACAGAAATTTAAAAATTACAGGCTCGGGGGTGGGGAAGACTGTTAAACAAAGCTGGCCACGTTGAAAGGCAGTGAAAAACTCATCCGTAGGTCCCCGTGTCAGCCATCATGGAGTGCTAAGCGACAGAAATAAGAAATGGCGATTAAAAAAAATCTCTTCCCCTCCAGTTTCTGCATTTACAAGAGCTGTCGGTCACCTTGCAAATAATATTCAAGTTGCTTGGATTTGGAAAAAAACAAAAAAAAAGTACCAACAGAGTTAAGATTTAACCTGCTTCATTTCTTGTTCTTCTGGCCCGACAGGTCAGAGAACGTCAAGTAAAGAATGAAAGGAAAACAAAACAACGAGAGAGAAAAAATAGAAGACTCTCTCTGATGGCTTGGTCCAAAATATAAAAATAAATGCAGAAAAAATTGCACACAAAAGAGAAAACAACCAAAGGATGATTGAACAATCTGGATAGGTCGATTCGTTTGCTGAATTTTTTCTATTTCTTTTTTTCTTTTCTGGATTTGCACGGCGGACGTTCCCTTGCCGCTGAATTTCGACAACCGTCACCAGAACTACGGAGAAACATGGAGTGATGATCCCACAGCGTTCCGTTTGCACTGAAATTTCCAAACGTACCGTTTCCCTGAAAATATGATATCCCCCGAAAATAAGACCTGGTGCCTTTTTTGGTGGCACAAAAAAATATAAGACAGGGTCTAATTTTGCGGAAGACACGGTACAAACTGCATGAAGTTCAGAGAAGAAACAACGGTGGGAAGGGGAAAAAAGGCTGTGTTTAAAGCAAATTCTCAGTAGGAAAGTTCTCCATTCCCGTTATTTAATCTCCCCTCACCTGGGAAATTCCGATCTTGAAAGACGGAGCAAAATGGTGTCTTTTTGAAGTTCTTTTTTGAAAAAAAAAAAAGTTCTAAGTTCCTTTTTTGGAGAAAAGTTTTCAAGTTCTTTTTTCTTTTTTCGTTGGATGAGAAGAGCATCTCCTCCTAAATCATCCGGACGTTGTTGAGCTCGATCACATCACGGATTCCTTTTCACGAGACTTGCTATTCTCTAAATGGGCTGGACCATTCTGCTTAATGAGGGGGGACCCCTCCTCTATCCCCTCTCCCTTGCCGGCCTCCAGGGCCTCCGTCTTAACCTCCAACAGGTCGTCAATCGCCGTCTGGCCCATTTTCTTCTCCGAGTACACCTGCAGGAGCCCAGCGCCAAAGGCATCGCCCTCCACATTCAGGACAGTGCACGTCCGGTCTCTGTAGGGGAGGAGGAGGAACCAAGACTGAGCATGCATGCAAAACAACCCCCCACCCGCTTCAGAGCATCTTCACCTGCAAAACCAGGGTCAAAAAACTTCACTGCCCTGGTTAGGACAGGACCAAAAGGTCCCTCATGTGGGGCCCTGGGGGCTCTCTGGGCTTGGTGGTTTTCTTGCAGACGTTTCAAGACCCAACTAGGGAACATCATCAGTGCTAGAAGGGAGTGGGTTTGCACTGGTGATGTTACCTAGTTGTGTAGTGAAAGGTCTAGAACAGGGATGGTGAACCTTCCTGGCACAGTGCCCAAACTGGTACACGTGGGCATGCACGTGCGCCAGAGCACCGGAAATCTGAAGACCAGCTGGCCAGTAGAGTGCATGTCTGTTTTTTTGGGGGGGCATTTTCAGACCGTTTTCCAGGCCAAAATTAGTAAAAAATTGCAAATCCACCCCCTGCACCCATCATCGCATCACACGCCCCAATCACTATCCGTCACAACTTGAGACTCCCCTTCACCCAGGTGCAGAGATAACGTGACCTTGCCTTAGAAAAAGAATGTTATTATGTCTAACCACATACTCTCCAAGAAATTCCCCCTTCCCATTTTCCCAGACCTCCCTTCACCACCCAGTTTCCTCCAGCTGCACCAGACAAGCCTGTCGGAGACCCCACCCAGTCCTCCCTTCCATTACACAACTTAACACACGGACACAACAAGATTCCAAAGGGCAGCTGGACAAGGAGCTGTTTTTTAAGTCCTCTTTCCAGATTGCATCCAGAGGTCAGAACAGGGGTGGGCAGCTCTGGCCCCTTTCCAGCCCGTGGACTTCAACTCCCAAAATTCCTGAGCCAGCCATTACTGGGAGTTGAAGTCCACAGGCCAGAAAGGGGCCAGAGCTGCCCACTTCTTGCTCCCAAACAAAGCCCTTGAAGATGGAAAAGCCCCCAATCTCACATTACGTCTTGCGAAGGATTGCAGAGAACCAAGGAAAGCCCTGAGATCAACTCTGGATCTTTTCATGACCTGCCCTCCAGAATCTACCCCCCCCAAAATAAGACCCTCCTACGCGTCACTTTCCTTGTAGAAGCCGCGAAAAAACAAATGCCGGTAATTCTTGACTTGCAGCAGTTCATTTAGTGACTGTGCGAAGTGACGTCACCAGGAAAAAAATGACCGTTTTCCCACTTAACGACCGTAGCGGCATTCCCCAGGGTCACGAGATCAAAATTTAAGACGCTTGGCAAACTGACTCGCCTTTATGACGAGAGCGTCCCATGATCCCCCTTTTGCGACCTTCTGACGTACAAAGTCCACAAGAAAGCCAGATTCACTTAACAACCGGGTTGCTTAACTTTAGCTCCTGCGGGGATTCGCTTAACGACTGTGGTGAGAATGGTCGTAAAACAGGGCAAAACTGTCACAACTGTCCCACTCAATAACCAACGTTTTGGGCTCCATTGTAGTCATAGGTCGAGGACAGCCTGTAGTCCTCGGACCAGCTAGCTCACCTGCTTTATGGTTGCCCAGACGAGCTGGGTCACCTACTCTATGGTTCCACCAGCCTGACTAGGGAATGCTGGCTAGTTCCCCATCAAGGGCTGTTTGCCCAGCTCGCTGGCCATACTTACACAATCCAATCCACCGCCAGGATGAGCGAGATGTCGTTGGTGGGCAAGCTAATGGCCTCCAGGATGATGGCCAGGGTCAGGACGCCCCCTGCGGGAATCCCAGCTGCTCCCACGCTGGATGCTGTCGCTGTGATGCTGTGGTTGAAACCAAGAAGGGCAGAGAAGAAGGTTTAGACACCCTGGTTGAACCCGAGGCTCTGGGGCAGCTCTGGGTGGAGTGTTTGCCACTCCTACTGACCCCCTAACGTCACACAGGATGGACCTCCTAACAGGACAGACACAGACTGCAGAGAGTAATTAGGACTGCAGAAAAAGTAATTGCTACAACCTGCCTTCCATGGGGGACCTGCATCCTGCACCCTGAGTCAAAAAGAGGGCTGTGAAAATATCTACAGACCCCTCGCACATCCCAGACATAAATTGTTTCAACTCTTTCCCTCAGAACAACGCTGTAGAGCTCTGCACACCAAAATAACTAGGCACAAGGACAGTTTTTCCCCAAACTCCATCATTCTGCTAAACAAATAATTCCCTCAACACTGTCCACTATTTACAAAGTCTGCACTACTACTCCTATTAATCTTCTCATCACTCCTTATCACCCATCCTCTCCCAATTGTGACTGTATGACTGTAACTTTGTCGCTTGTAATTTATAGACTGTTTCCTAGTATGATTTGATTGCTTATTGTACCCTATGACTATCATTAAGTGTTGTACCTGATGATTCTTGATGAACGTATCTTTTCTTTTATGTACACTGAGAGCATTTGCACCAAAGAAAAATTCTTCGTGTGTCCAATCACACTTGGCCAGTAAAGAATTCTATTTCTATTTCTATTCTATTCTATTTCATTTCTATTTCATTTCATTTCTATTCTATTCTAATTCTACACCTTGCATCTCCCAGATGTCTCTCAAAATTGACCCCACAGAAGTAGAACATCTGGATCAAGATCTGATCATTTTATTTCCATTCGCATGACCGAAAGAGCGAAACTTTTTGCGGAGTTTGCAACTCGAGACACTGAAGACCCAAGCTCAGCCAGGGAGCACAATTAAGGAGGTACAAAGCCGCAATTGCACTTTGTACAATCCTGGCTTAACGAGTGGTGGGCAGCCAGGCAGGAGCGCTTTGAGGGCTATTTATGAACTTGGCCAGTTGTGCTTCGTCAGCAGGTCTCAGTTAGGCGAATCCGGTGTTGTGGGCTGTTGGCTGCCGGTCCCTCCAGCGACCAAATTGGAGAAGGAGGAGGAGGCATGAGAGTCAGGGTCAGCAACAAGACAACCTGAGAGCTCTGAGGGGGAAGAGGGAATGGAGCTGTGTGTGTGTGTGTGTGTGTGTGTGAGAGAGAGAGAGAGAGAGAGAGAGAGAGACAGAGACAGAGACAGAGACAGAGACAGAGAGACACACACAGAGAGAAAGAGAGACAGAGAGAGAGAGAGAGAGAGAGAGACAGAGAGAGAGACAGAGAGAGAGAGACAGAGAGAGAGAGACAGAGAGACACAGAGAGAGAGAGAGAGAGACACAGAGACACAGAGAGAGACAGACAGAGAGAGAAGCGGAGCCTGAGCCATCCCATCAGCCCTCAGATGGAGAGTCAACAGCCCCCAGGTCTGGAGGTGGCTGATGAGGAAGAGGAGGAACAGCTGGGACCACTGCCTGACACGCAGATGCACAGAAGGCAGAGGAGAGGAGAGCAGTAGACATCTATGAGCCGGTCCTTGGGACAGAAGAGCCACCGCTGCTAGCAAAGCCCCACCCTCGCTCTGGGGGCACAGATGAATAGATGTGGGAGACAATTATTTATCTCCCAGCCAGACGGACTTGTTAGCCTGCAGTGAGACAGAAACTTTTTCGCCGGGGCTGCTGGCGCTCCTAATAAAGGAATCTTTTTGAGTTCAGGTCAGAGGGTTTGTCATGTTTGGGGAGCTGGGTCAGAACACCTGGCTTAGCATCAGGTATGAAAGACACTGGCCACAGCCTTTGCAAGAAGCTGGAGGAGGCCGTTCTGCAGGAGCAGAAAAATAACCAATATTTAATTTTAACAGGATGCCACTTTTAGTCTCGTTGGACATTTTTTTTCCACCGAATTTCAGCCTTGGAGCTTCCACCCTGAATTTCTCCAGATCCTGTAATTTCAGCATCTCTCATTAAAGGCTGCTATTCCAAGAACTATTTTTTTTTTTTCTTTTCATCACCACGTGTCCCGAAGCAACCTCTACTTATGAATTTCTCCTTTGTTTCTGGGCCAACCTCATGACTCTGTTTCTGCCCGACAAAATTACAGCCCATTGAAATGTTAATATCAGACTAATTTCATGGAGAGAAATGAGGTTCCATGGAAGGACAGCTCCAACCTCCCCAAATTAAACAGTTTAAAGAGGTTTAGTTTCATTTTATTAAATTTATGGGTTGCCCATTTGACTATCTGAACTTTTATAGTCTCAGTAAATTGCACATGGGCAGATAGGACGGCACTCCAGAGGGTTAACATCATTGCCCAGAAGATCATGGGTTGCCTTCTCCCCTCTTTGGAAGAGCTTTAGAGCTCCTGCTGCCTTAAGAAAGTTCAAAACATCCTCAAAAATCCATCTCATCCTGGGCACCCTTTTTTTTTTTGAACTATTACCACCTGGCAGACGGTACAGGACAATAATAAAAACAAGGACAAACAGGCTGAAAAACAGCTTCTATCCCAGGGTAGTAACTCTACTGGATTCTGCTGTATAGGGCAGTATGAATGCGATATCAGGAGTTTTCCATTCAATGTGTGGAGTGTGAACGGATGTGTGTTTGTGTTTATTTTCATGGTCATGATGTGCATTGAAGTTGGCGTTTGATTTCGATGTACGAGGTGCAATAACAATAAAAGTAAACTAAACTTTCCAGAATATTGCAAGGTTGGGAGATGTCACAAGATATGGAGAGTTTCAAATGGGAGCAGAGGAACATTGCTAGCTGGTTTCCGCACGCTTGTAATCATGGTTTGTTTCTAATCATGTTGATTGAATCATCACTGATTGGGTTGTGGTCATGAGTAAGGTTTTAGTGATGAGTTAAAGCAGTGATTCTTAACCTGGGCAGCTTTAAGATAGGCGGACCTCAAACTCCCAGAATTCTCCAGCCAGCAGAGCTTACTCTCTTGTGATCCCTTCCTCCGCAATCTCTCTCCACTTTAGGAGATTGAGAGAGAGAGAAAAGCAGGCCTAGCTGGCTGGAGAATTCTGGGAGTTAAAGTCCACAAGCCTTAAAGTGGCCAAGGTTGGAGATTTCTAGTGTAGGGTCTCCTGCTTGAGCAAGGGGTTAGACTAGAAGACCTCCAAGGTCCCTTCTAACCCCATGGCTCTATGTTCTTATGTCCAACCCCTTGCTCAAGCAGGAGACCCTACACCAGAGGTCTCCAAACTTGGCTACTTTAAGACTGGTGGCCTTCAACTCCCAGAATTCTCCAGCCAGCAGAGCTTACTCTCTTGTGATCCCTTCCTCCGCAATCTCTCTCCACTTTAGGAGATTGAGAGAAAAAAGCAGGCATAGCTGGCTGAGGAATGCTGGGAGTTAAAGTCCACAAGTCTTAAAGCTGCCCAGGTTGAGAAACACCTAGACTAAAGTTGGCATCTGATCTTGGATGAACACGGTCCAGAAAGCAGTAAGATCTTGCACAAAACAAACTCTTGACTTTCTTTTATGTAGCTTTAACATTAATTGGAATTAAAACCAGGGGGAAAGGGATTCATTGATACGTCCATTGTTTCTTTAATGCTCTTCCTCTCTTGATCGTGTAAACACAAAAACGTTTTAGGGGTCCCTTCTGACGTTCAAGCAAGACAGATCTGGGGTGTGGGGGCCCTCGATACTCACAGGATGGTGATGACTTGGATGAAGTTGAGCGAGACGTTGTTGAGCTGGGCGATGAAGACGGCGGCGACGCACTGGAAGAGGGCCGCTCCGTCCATGTTGACCGTGGCCCCGATGGGCAGGATGAAGCGGCTGATGTGCTTGGAGACGCCGTTGTTCTCCTCCACGCACTTCATCATCAGGGGCAAAGTGGCAGAGCT